TTAGCTGCCCCTCAATATCACGTGTCTAGACGTCAGCCAATTAGCTGCCCCTCAATATCACGTGTCTAGACGTCAGCCAATTAGCTGCCCCTCAATATCACGTGTCTAGACGTCAGCCAATTAGCTGCCCCTCAATATCACGTGTCTAGACGTCAGCCAATTAGCTGCCCCTCAATATCACGTGTCTAGACGTCAGCCAATTAGCTGCCCCTCAATATCACGTGTCTAGACGTCAGCCAATTAGCTGCCCCTCAATATCACGTGTCTAGACGTCAGCCAATTAGCTGCCCCTCAATATTACGTGTCTAGACGTCAGCCAATTAGCTGCCCCTCAATATTACGTGTCTAGACGTCAGCCAATTAGCTGCCCCTCAATATCACGTGTCTAGACGTCAGCCAATTAGCTGCCCCTCAATATCACGTGTCTAGACGTCAGCCAATTAGCTGCCCCTCAATATCACGTGTCTAGACGTCAGCCAATTAGCTGCCCCTCAATATCACGTGTCTAGCCGTCAGCCAATTAGCTGCCCCTCAATATCACGTGTCTAGACGTCAGCCAATTAGCTGCCCCTCAATATCACGTGTCTAGACGTCAGCCAATTAGCTGCCCCTCAATATCACGTGTCTAGCCGTCAGCCAATTAGCTGCCCCTCAATATCACGTGTCTAGCCGTCAGCCAATTAGCTGCCCCTCAATATCACGTGTCTAGCCGTCAGCCAATTAGCTGCCCCTCAATATCACGTGTCTAGACGTCAGCCAATTAGCTGCCCCTCAATATCCGGATTATATTTACACCCCATTAAATCTCCTGTGTCTGAGAGGGGCAGATTTAAACCTGCTCAGCCCCGTGGCAGGGCCCGTGGTATCTGGTGTCAATAAGAGGCTAAAGAGCACACCACAATACCGTGGCAACTCTCTTCATACACTGTTCAGGTCTCTTAACTGGTATCATACTCTGTTCTAATGTTATTTATGTGTCACGCCTGCCTGCTCCCTGGCTGTGGTCCCGTGTTTGTGAGGTCTGGGTGAGCTTGAGGGGCCATGCTTGTCAAAGCTAATGTTTTGTGGAACTGTGAGTTCGTGGAAATCTGAATTTTACATTGGGTGTAGTTTTCTGCTGGTCATCGTGTCTTTTACGCTTACATTTACTTGTGAATTGCTGATGTTTTGTATTCGGATATATCCAACACTTGCTTAAACATTGGGCGTTACCAAACCCTCGATTTAACCTGGTATTGTAAAATGACGTGCCGATATCCTAGCAATTAAAAATATCTGCCAGAATTCATTATCACCTTCCAATCTTCCAAAGAAATAATCTACTCTCCGCACAGTCTGCACTACCTCATATCACATCAGTTTTGTAGAATATAATTAATCTAATTATCTCATTAGCATGATCTAATTACCCCTACATTACCTCACAATTTCTGGGAAGTAAAGCCACAACTCCTCAGTACACACTCAACCCATGATATGTACCTATCAACATTACATTAGATACCTTCATTAAATACCTTCACGTTCTTAATACCTTTGTTTTATCTCCTTTCCGTGTGAACACCGTGTATCTTAATTCTTAATGATTATTTCCATTTTTCACTGTACATCTTGATCTAGACTTTTGATTGGAGTATGTTAAAGTCCCCAATTTCACATACCTCATTGGGATTTTAATTGACTGCTGGACCTCGTATTGCTGCCTGATTAGCTAGTCCACATTGTCTGCTTTCTGATTGGTCCTTTCCCTCGTTCTGCCGAATTTGATTGGCTATCACACTCCATCCTCTCATGTGATTGTACCCTGACTATCAGTTATAAGCATTACTTCCGTGGTTGTTCTAATTCCTAGGACTGAACAGCCCTCCGTTAATCCGTTCCAAGCCTTCTTCAAATGTATACTTCACCGTAATTATAATAAGCAGTGTTTAATCTACAAATCTGCCCCTTATAAGAATCCGTACCGTTTTAACACACAATTTCATTTGTTGTACTCACGTAATCTTAAATCGTGTAATTATACTCTTACACTCTGTGTACAATCCCCGTGTTGGTATACACTATTGTTGATTGATTGTACACCGGCCACCAGTTAATTACACCCCACTTATCATTGGTATGATGCAAGTGACGAGCAGATTTAGTTGTTGTTGCTGCCCCCTGCCGGGCCCTGCTTCCTTGTATAGTCACAACTCGAGACACTTGTTACTTGATGATAGGTGTGGGACGGCGACCCACTTGCTGATATCCTCCTGATTTGGTTGTTGTTGAAGGTCCCCCTACCTCTGTGTAATTCAGTGTATAGTAGCACGCAGTACAATGTACATCTTGCTATGTACTACTTGGATTTAACAGTTAACTTATTTATTTAACAGTTAATACTTGCTGATTTGCTTGGGACGGCGGCAAACCTATTGCAGTATTACAGTATTACAGTATTAGTATTTAGTTGTGTTAGTAACGTTTGAGTGACCCTGTTTAGCTGCTCTGTATAACTAACACCGTAGTTTAACACGTGACACAACAAGGGCCACTGCACCTTAATTACTAGGATTGTTAGCTTCCAGGGTCCCACTATTTAACAGTTGACCCCGCCCCAGCTAAGTTGATGGCCCTAATGTATGTATCTAGTAGCTCTAGCTCTGTAACTGAATTATCTTGCTGTTTCCTGGCTGCAGAGGAGCTGGCCCACTATTTGTTAATCTAATATGTTGTACTGGAATTGCAGTGGAGCTATACTGCTGGAACTCTGTTGGTGGAGCTTCTGTCGTAGTTCTGTCAAATCCACATCTAGCAGTGGTCCCTCACATTGCACATGATGTCTGAATTCTCGAACGTTAAAATTCGTACTTCGAATCATCTCACAATGTTCAGACGCAATCCAGACATTTTAATTTCATAATTTTAGTTAAACAGCTTGCTGGATTCTGTTCTGTCAAATCCACCCGATGTTTAAATTATCCAACGTTAAAATCCATCAAAATTATCTTGCACAATTTTCAGACAAACGAGACATCCAGACATTTTAATTTTGTAATTTTAGTTGAACAGCTTGCTGAATAAGACGTTCAAAGCTTGCTTGTTGATCAAAACATAGTTGTCAATCTCTGCACGTCTACATAAACTGAACATAGTTCCCATAGTTAGTATTGTTCTGATGTGTCAGATTGTGTGAGAGCTGTTTGTTTGGAGCTCCCCTTTTTAACTGTGATATGGGGCGCGGTCTTTTGTTAGGGTCCCAGTTTCCAAGTGTTTCCGGTGTATGAATAATAGTACAATAGTCGTTTACCCCTGGCTCCCATCACTTTATACTGTTACCCCTGCTATTGTAACTTTTATACTATTTTCAGTGTCAGTGGCCTTACAACTTTCATACTTTTTGTAATTTCAGTGCCAGATAACCTTCCTCGATTTAGCGTGAAGCCTGTAGCCCTAATAAAAATATAAGCAAGTCTCTATTTTCTGGGAATCTGAGGGATGCTAATTAATTTAAAGCTTTTACTATACAGTTCTTCTGGCGATAGAGCATGAAATCAATCAGTAGGGTTGGGAAGATGAAGTTGAAGAAGCACATACCGTAAAAACTAAGCTGCTAAAATGACGTTTAAGAAGTGCGTACCGTAAAAACTAAGCTGCTAAAATGACGTTTAAGAAGTGCATACCTTAACAATTAGCTTGCTGTTGTGTTGACAGTTGTTTAAAGCTTCACGTATTATATATCCAACAATACACTCTCCTTACCCTTGCCTATTACTCTGTGTTGTTAGCATCAGACTGGTTATATCTAATTATGCCCGATAGCTCGTTTTCTTCCAATTTTCATCACTTTATCCATATTTTCCAGTTTTCGGACTGTTCTTTGTTGTTGCACGTTGTGAATAGGAATGAACGAGAACTTTCTTTGGTATTCATTATTTTTGAGTTACCTTGTCTCCTTTCATCTGTCGATAATTCCTTTACTGTCAGTTACTTTAAGTTTCTGAACTCTTGTATGTAACGTGGTTTATTTATTTGTCAACAAATGACCGAGGTTATCACACAATATGTAAATATTCATCATATTTATTTACCAGTCATATTGATACGATTTGTATTTCCCACCCGTAAAGCTTTTGATTGCGAACTCAGTATGAGGTATGCACGTTAAAAGTCCTCGTCCAATCAAATCACTGAATAGCAATCACGTGCTCAACATCATCCAATCACATCGCCTCGTTTCTTTCTCATGATCCGCCTAATCCAATCAAACTCTCAAGCTCTGTTACTATCAATCGAAGTTGCAGCCAATCACCTAACATGTACACCACACCGCAAGCCAGTCCAATGAAGCTTCATCTCACTCAATTAGAAACTTTTACACGCTTCACCAGATTCGTAACTTCGTGTTTACACTGCCACCCTCCTTCCATATTTCCCTCTTCCGGCTTCATCGAATCAGAGATCTGGCTGAACCAATCAGGTTCTTCCCCTGACAACTCTATACATCTCCTGGCTACGAGCCATGATAAGTATTGTTTGTTTGTGCTTCAGTAATTCGATCAGTAGTTTACACAGGACAGGGTTTACAGCAGTATGTATGTGTTCATCATAACCAGATATCCTACACAGATCACTTTTGCTTGATCTAGATTTTTCCTACATTCCTAATCGAACTGCTCTTTTCATTGCTTGGTCTAAATCTCCTTCTCACACGCTCTCCTTTTCTTTGTTTTTTGCTTGCTGATAGTGGTTGATTGGTTTTAGTGAGTTAACGCAAAGTAATCCGCATCGTTTATTCCTTAAACAGTATAATTAGCGGATATTGTACTAAACTCAGTGTACTTGTGAGGAGCATGGCAAGGTTGCTGCTCTGTAAGTGTAATGACATGCTCTGCTTTGGTGATCTCTCCTGCCACGGGACAAGCACTACATCTTTGTTTAATTGTACTTAATTAATGCACCATTTCCTGTTCATATGCACAGTCTGCTGTGCAGTCCGCGTTGAAGATTAGCTTGTTTTTAGTTTTGCAACCGCTAACCGATAATTCTTAGCTTGCTTGTTGATCCGTATCTAGTTTTACTCGTGACTTTTAGTGCTCGCATAGAAAACTTGCACTCTCGTCGTCACTTCCGTAGTTAGTTTTTTCTTGTCATGATCAACATTTTTTGACACTTACCAACCAACAACTCACTAGGAAACCAGCTGTTAAACACGACCATGAACCAATCAGCAGGCTCCGGAGGGACCACGTGATAGGTACGCCCTGCACACTCGACATGACAGTGCTGTTGCTGTGTAAACAGTAGCCACCAGCAGTAGAGAGAGATCACATCGTTTGGTGTTATGTTTGGAGTGTTCCGCAAACACAAGAAGAGTAGCAAGACCGTCCCCTCCCCACCCCCTCCCCACTCTCAGCAACCACCCTACGACCCTCAGCTCCATCAGAAGAACGGTCACCATGGTCACCAACAGCAGGTCTTCAACCCTGTGATGTATGTTACCGGACCTGGATCAAGACCTCACCACAACGGCCACCACAACGGGGTCCACCAGAACGGGGTCCACCAGAACGGGGCCCACCAGAACGGGGCCCAGCCATATTACCAAAATGGAGGAAGCCTTTATCAACCTGATATAAGACCGCACTACCATCAAAACGGAGGTCCACCAAACCTTGTTAACGGCTCCACCTCCCACAAGAACGGCGGGGTTCCCTCCCAAAACCACCACCTAACCAAACACAACCACATCAACATTGGACCACCTCCGGTCCAGAACAAATGGGTCAACCTGGATGATCCAAAGCAGAACGTACGGAAAGGGAGGAGATCCCGAGGACACAACCCGGCCGTGATACGGTCCAACAGCGCGGGGAGTGTGAAGAGTCAAGCCTCGTCTGTCGATTCCTGTTACAGCACCAAGTCAGAGCAGTTCAAGAACTCTGTCAGGATCCCAGACACAAAGTTCTCTGGATCCTGGACCTCCAACGAGTCAGTTAACAGTAGAAACAGGTCAAACTACAGTCTCGCTACTGAGAGGAAGCGAGTTAGGGAGTGGAATGTGGATATCGGCCCCAGAAGACAGGACACCAAACCCCCCGTCCTCTCATCCGCCCAGATACCCTATACCACGTACCGGGGAGTGGGGGATCCGCCCCCCAAGTCCTCCACCAAGTCCCTGAAGTCGAGCTGTGGGAATGTTTCCTCTACGGACAGCAGCAGACAACACCCCTTTGTAGCCAGTTATATGAGCTCAAGTACCCCGCCTCCAGCTTATCACAGTGACCCGTTATCTTCTAGTCACGGTTCTAATGGGTACGTTTGTGGTTGTAGTCAGTTAACTTAATTAATCGACTATTTGAATATAGCTATTGGTAATTTAACTTTCAATTTCATACATTTTGATCAGACAATTCATTGTTAATGTTATTCCTATTATTAGTCCGTTAGTAAGGTTAAGGATTGCAGACAAAGTCTACCTTAATCCTCACTATCGTATTTCAAGTTTACATTCCTGAGTGCTGTGTTTTCACATATTCCCCATAATTTTCTCTAGGGATTAGTACTTAATTTAATGTTGTCGCTATTGCGGTATTTAGTTTAACATTGTGGCCGTTGGTACGGGAATTTAGTCCAGGATTTTCGTGTAAGAACATACGGGTAGCATGAGATCTTATATTGTATAGCGATGTTTCCTGATGCTAAAGTTATTTGTACCTGTTGTTCGTTTCAGTTAATGTATGTTTAAAATAATTTAATAAATGTTGTTAATATCTCGTCTACAATGTTCTGTCATAACACGCATAATGTCTCGACACACTGAACCATGTACTGTATTACTTGTATTCTAGTGTAACCTGGTTCTGTGTCTACTGTCTAGGTTCACTGTTGATGCTGACCTAATTTGTTATTTCAGTTACATAAACAAACGAACGACCACCCAACATCCCAGCACGCTCCCTAACCTACAACATCCTCCTAACGAAACCATGCTGGTTAGAGTCAAAATTCTTTTTAAATATTTTTTCTCTCCAAACTCATGTTTTTGTAATGAAGCAATGCCAATTATTTTATAATTGTCAACTAAGAGCACAGTTCAAGGTGCTGAAGGCAAAGTTACTGGCTTTTTTAAGTCTCCTGGCACAGATCCAAATATTTGATTCAGTACAAAAAATCACTATACAGTTCAACGTTACACACTAATTATTTATCTCATAAGTTCCTAAATATTTCCACACATAACCACATAACTCCTCTCAGAGTGGATACGGGTCACCAGTACAAGCTCCGGGGCGTATTGTCACGGCTACTCTCTACAAAACCACCAAAGGGTTCGGTTTCACGCTCTCTGGTGGTGACAAGAGTGGGCAGCCTGTCCTTATCAAGAGTGTAAAGCAGGGATCTCCTGCTGACACCCAGGGAGGTCTTCTGGTTAGTTTTATTGGTTCTAGCGATATTTTAGTGTGTTCGAGCATTGTAGTCCACACTCAACGGTTGTTACAATTTTAGTTGCTTAGTAGGCGATTCATAATGATCATAGAGTGTAGACTATTTAAAACTCGCCCAGCATCATTCCTCACATAGTTTACCCTACACCCCCTACAATATTTCACTGTTCAGGCGGGTGATATCCTAGTGAAAGTGAACGGTCAGATAGTGAGTAACCTGACGCACTCCGGAGTGGTTCAGCTCTTTAAAGCTATACCCAACGGAGCAGAAGCTAGGTTAGAGCTGCGGAGAAATGATATACCTGGACACAACCATCAACCACAACCATATCAGCCGCATCAACAACAGCAACCTTTTCAACAGCAACCCTACCAGCAGCAACCGTATCAACAGCAACCTTATCAACAACAGCCTGTACCGTATCAACAGCAACCACCCTTTCAACAACCACCCTTTCAACAGCAGCCTTACACCAATGGCAGAGTATGTCCATCTTGTTTCTCGTGGTCCAATAATCAGTTCAAAAATATTAATTCTTTAAAACATTTCTATTTTGATCACTGCTGTAAAATGTGTACAGAAACCGCCCCTTAGTACTCCAAAATTTTGGTAAGTTGCCAAATTTAATCCAGCCCATCTACGTAATTTCAAAAGTACATTTTGAATACATCAAATCAAATTAAACAAATAACTAGCAACCACTTCCACAGGCCCAGGGATACCCCGACCAAGGTGCGGAGAGCAGTTCCAGCAGGTCAACAGGAAGTGTAAACAACCCCCACGGGGACCTCATTCCAATCTACATAGACAAGGTAAGAGAACTGAGAGAGCTGCATATTCCATCAAGACTTAACAATAACAATTAAAACATCGTGGTACAGTTGATGTTTTTATTTCTTCCAAATCTACCAAAAAGATGACAATTTTAAATTAACTACCCGGCAATCGGCATGTACAGATAAAACATTGTCTTCTCAGGGAGATAATGGGTTTGGGTTTACAATCCACCAGAGTAACGCCGGCCAGAGAATAAAGACGGTGATGGACCGGAGCAGGTGTGCTTATCTTATGGAGGGCGATCTTATAGTTCAGGTTCGTGCATATTCTAATAATACTTTTCATTCATACAAAGTTATAACAAATTCTTCTTGTAGTGCATCCTGGGTTTGGACAGGATATGCCCGCTTAAAATATTTCCATCACGTTACATTACATAATTCTCAATAAATGTAATGGATTTGTAGTGTTGTGATAAGTTTAAAACTATGAATAATATGGATTTATTGCTGTATATTTGATGTTGGTTTGTTTATTTTTTGTTCTGTCGTTTATTTGCCTGTTTACTCATCTGCTCTGATATTTAAAACATTTTGTTTCGTGATTCTATAACTCTGTTAAACTTAATGACTTTTAGTTCGTCCTTGTACTAAATAATTGAAATTCGACTCCGCTATTCTCTAACATTATCAATTTGTTTGTTTATCATTTTCTTTTGCCGGATTAATGCTTGATTTTATGATTAATGCTAGGGCGAAGATTACTTGGTTATGAATGGTCACCTTGCTAATGGAAGTCCGGTATAGCAGATACCACCACGCCTTTTATAAGATATTTATGCGAATAATAATTGAATAAGAGTCACGTTCACATTTGATGCTTTTTATGGGAGTTTGTTCCCCTTCTTTTTTAACTTTTAATATTGCGTGGGGTAAAAAGCGTGGGGTGCCCTACATAGACTGAAGGATATCTGGAAATCCAAACTCTCAAAGAGCCTAAAGATTAGATTGTTCATAGCGGCTTGTGAATCAGTACTGCTCTACGGATCAGAAACCTGGACACTGACAAAGGCTCAAGAGAAAAGTTTGGACGGGACATACACAAAGATGTTGCGTATGGTGCTGGGTATCTCATGGAAGGACAAGGTCAGCAATATAACTTTGTATGGTAGCCTCCCAAGGCTGTCAAACAAGTTACGAAGCAGGAGATTAAAAATGGCGGGACACTGCATCCGACATCCTGAGCTACTTGCCAGTGATTTAGTCTTATGGGAACCTACGCACGGTAGAGCACAGCAAGGCCGACCAAGACAAAGCTACTTGTCTATGTTACTGAAGGAAGTTGGGACAAACTCTAAAGAGGAACTGCGAACCCTGATGCGGGACAGGGATGTATGGAGGGGGTTTTCTGGCGTAGATCGGACTTAGCTCCGACATAGTAGTAGTAATATTGCTATTTGCAGACCGATAAGCTGATGTACAAGACTTTCTTAGTTCTATTTCTTGCGTTTACAGTTGTATATTCTGCTGCTACAGCCAGTTACAATAAAAGCAGACTCCTGAAGCAAAAGAAACGATACAGAAACTGTGTGAATATGGGATTTAACTCCAAGATTGGATGCTGGTATAAACGCGACAAGAATAAAAACAATGGGATCACGAGGAAAGAAATTTCAAAGTGTGGTACTTCAGAGAGGTACCTAAACAAATGTGGATATCAATGTGTAAATGAGGGGTAGAAAGTGAAGATAACAATCAAGCCCACGGCCAAACTGTCCAACGAGATAAAAGACGACCTTTGTACAGAGGATTGTGTAAATTTATATCCACTCCTCCTAATCTCAGATCCACTCCTCGGCTCAGTCACAAGATGGAATTGCTGTCGAGAAATATCCACTTAACAGACCACTACGTGTGGGAGATGTTTTGAAAGTGTCGGCATCCTACAAAGATCGAATTACAGAGAGATTCAGTATCAATATCATGGGACCTGTTGATCCATTACGGGACGAATACTATCTGGTTCATGTTGAATTCAGGCCGCTGGGCTTTTACCCGCTTATCATAAACAACAAAAGTCCTGATTATCCTCAATGGGGTAGTGAAGTCCATCCGTCGTTCAATTTTTTAAACTTTGAGAAACAGACGACATTCGATTTCACGATAGAAGTTCTCAAGAGAAAATATAAAATGTCGTACAATGGCAAAGAGTTATCTGAAAGGTTTCCTCAGCGAGATGATATAGCAGATACTGGTTATATCATGTTGAAGGGAGGTACCGGTGACATTCAATGGAGATATATCGAGCTTACAGCAGCTAGTGGACGAGGCTGCGAATCTCACTGTGTACCCACAGTGACTTGATTTAAAAATATAATGAGTGAAATAAAACAAACAAGAATTGCGCCGGTTAGCGGACGCTAGATTTCCATCAACAATCAACCGTACGCATTGCCATTTAAAATTACAATTAATGATCGTTTCATGTTGGTCAAAATATCAAATAATGGTTCTTTATTCATCATTCTTGGGGCGATACGGAGCACCAAATGGAGGGGTTGCCATTGTTAATTATTCGAATTTAAAAAGTTAAATGACCGGATACCGTAGCCTGCGCCTGTGTGGTGATATGCAGTTAAAAGAACAAAAGCCATGTGAAGCGAAGGAATAGTTGTTTACAAGTTAACATAAGTTGTAAGATTAAATAAAATGGCTGTCGTGAAATCCGTAGTAGGTAATGTAAGTCATAATAACATTTATATGGTCCATTTCGTATTACTCGACAATCATGTTCAACATAATATCAGCATCATAATTCGTTCAACGATATAACGGATTACTAATATCATTATCGGGAGCCAAGTCGGTGGTTGCACCAAGCACTCACAACAAAACGATAAGTTAGTATGTTGTAGCGCATCATGATCAATGATCAAGTAAAGAAAAGCATGAACTACTTAACACATGTATAAGATCCGGGAAATTGCTTTTTATTCAAATCAATTACCATAGAATTCAAATTGAATGCTTGGCGCGCGCATTTGAAAGTGCATAATTTAATCAATCGTCAAATAGTGCAAACGTATGCGGAGATATATATCTTATAAGACCCAACAAAATTATTCAGATGTTGTCAATTTTTTTAAATGTAAATTATCATTTATTATCAGGAAGCTGGTTCTCCTGTGTATAAGAGGAACCAGATCTTCTGTCAATTCAGTTGACAAAAGTTGTGAAAGCGACTTTGAGTTCGCATGCTTTGTATCAAAGCTTAGCTAATTATGAGTCCTATGGACTCAATTAATTGTTGATTCAAATCTGGTCGATTATATATATATATAATATACATTGTTGTAAATTATATTGCTATATATTATTCTATTTGTTTTCCAAAAAATTAACAGATGATTAAGATGTTTTCCTTTGTCCATGTGACACGACTCACGTGACACAAAAAACCTACCTACCTACTATATCTATTCTCAATTCTTATCATCTTAAACTTTTTTAAGAAAAAAAAAGGTTGGACAAAATAAGTACTAACACAACTCATTTCAGATAAACAGCGAGCCGTTAGCGAACAAGTCCCACGGAGAAACGGTTCACCTGTTAAAGGGGATTCCACCTCACACTCGAACCCTGCTTCTCGTCAGCAGGGCGGACCCGGAAACAAAACGGAAAGACAAGAAAAACCGTTCCTTCAGATCACGGCAACCTCCCCCTCCACCGCCTCCTCCACAGCCCCTCCCTCCTCAACCACTCCTCCCCCACAACAACCACGTCATGACGTCTTCGCGCGCCAACCCACCCCAGATAAATCCTCTGACTCAGCCGCGCATGCCGCTTACAGTCCCCGTTTACGGGATGGACTCCAACAGGATATCAGACCATGGTTCGGTGCAGAGTGGCAGTGATCGCCAGCACCATCAACTCTGGGAGAGTCCTGTTAGGTCAGCTGGTTCTGGGGGCTGGGACCCCATCACCCAGTTTAACCAGGGGGCTCACTCGTGGGACAGCACGGGCGAGTACCAGGATGTTCAGGTCAACTTGCAGAAGGATAACAATGGGTTCGGCTTCAAGGTAAGTTCACGTTTGCATGATTTTTAGTATTTAACGCATATTCATTCGAGTTAATAATGATAGTTTTTGGTCGCAAACGAATCTCAATTTTTGATTAATCGGTTCATTAATTCAGCTTATTTGTAATTAACCCAACCCTTTCCATTAGGTTATTGGTGGAGAAGAGCAAGGTATCCCTGTTGCTATCGGTCACGTGACTCCGGAGGGTCCTGCGGAGGGTCTCTTACAAATCTACGATGAAATTCGCACCGTAAACGGTATGCTCTGTTTTGATCTCCTGACTTTTCTCCAAGTTATCAAATCTACGATGTGCATTTAATTGTACAAATTACAATTCAAGCCGAGATCTAGATCTAGGTTATAAGAAAGTTGTATTATTATCTCTTATTCAATACTGTAACGTACGAGACAATTAAATTTGATGACGATTTGTAATACAATAAAACATTCAACTCTTCTGCCAACTTACTGCGCTGAAAGATTTCCCTCATAAAATCATAATATATTCAATCATGAAAAGTGAGTCCCCAATTCCTTTGAAAACAATAGACTCTTGTCAATAAACGTTTGTTATCCATCGAAGTTATCATATAAAACAAAATACGCTTGCTCAATTTCCCATAGCATCGCACTTCTGGTCCATGTTTCTGTACACATCGGTTTTATCTCCACAGAAGCTTGCTGGTCTGTGGATAGAGAAGCACTTGTTCACAGCTCCCCGCAAATTGGGCGGTGTCCCTGCGTGGTTTAGACTCCAAACGTTCTCAAACAGTTTCATAAACTTTTCCTTCATCTCCTCGGAAGTGAGCGTCTCCCCGACCCGTTTTATACAACAGCTGAAGTAGAACGCGTCCCGCATATCTTCCGCACAGTCAGCATCACAGCGAAGCTTTTCCTCCACTTTCACGTGAGCATCTGCGATCCCGTTGACGTAGACCGTGGTGTTAGACATATCGCTATTGTAGATCTGGGAGTTGAGGTATTTTTCTACATCTTCCTCAACTCGAATTAAAGAAAGACAAGTGTCCGTGTTATTAAACGTGTTATCAAAGAGGGCTCCTATATTGATCTGCCATGTTTTGAAAACATCAAGACAGTCTTCACCTTTGTGCTGTCCACAGATAGCGTCTAAATAACCGTGTACTATTTCTCCCATATTATCCCAGTCCAGATGATTCACGATTTCTTCAAACTTTGAGAGATCAACGTGGAGGAGCCGTAGTAAGATTGAGCCGTTGTAACCCTTGATGCAGTTAATTGTTGCCCCTACTACGCCTCGACATTCGCAGAGAATCCTCCAAATTTGTTCAATCAAATCCATGAGAACTCTGAAGCGTTCTTCGTAACTTTCAGCGGATGCGACACCCTGTAGTATGTTGGGACCGTTTGTCTTGATTAGTCGTAGAATTTTGCAGGGTGCGTTTTTGCAGTCCCCTTTTAGAGCAGCGAATTCATCTTTACACTTGCATCCAGGTATCCAGTTTCGTATTGGGTCGCAACTATCATCCTTACTTAGATCTTCTTCGAAACAGAGTTGAGACTCTATCGTGGAGAGAATTCGCCTATAACTTGGTCGGAAAGTTTGACCATCCTCTGAGATGATGTCTCCGATCATTTCCCTAGCAACGTTCCATCCTGCCTCGTCGTACTGCTCTTTATAGATCTCGAATATCTCGCTACTCTGCACTGTTACCAAAAGTAATGTTTGCCATATTAGTAAGCCTACTAGTTTCATATTTGATCGGCTTTTGTTCCTCCAAATTACGTCAAATATTAGTTGTTATTCAAAAATTATAAATATATCAACTGAGGGTGCTCAAGGACCACGATGGTAACGTATAAATGTATATGTTTTTAAAAACCACTTGATGATAAATGAGGGCAGTAGAGGGCTAAATATTAATAGCTTTTTTGAAAATGCTCCTTTATCAAGAATATCATTTTCGGTCGTGACATCAGACAAGATTTTCGTAGAAATTTTGATTGTTCATATCAGAGAAATGTGCGCGCGGACGCAAACAAAAATATATATAATATACAACAAAATAAAACACTTCGTTCGCTAACCCTTGTCCTTGAATCTTTTGTGCCTAACAGCAAAAGATTCATGGATCGGGGGGAAATAAAACACATAAATTTTATGAAACACTTAAATCAAAATGTCTGTTTGTATACCTTCTGTCCATCTCTATTGAACAGCTCAACATTTCTATGTCATAGCTCTGTCATAGAAAGAATCACTATCATCTGAACAGCACTGAGCACCAAGGCAGTGATTATAACAGACGATATGGGAGCAAACGCGATCATAGCCGACCCAGCCATTCCTCCTATCAAGCCCATTGAGGACGAAATACTAGAGCCTAGCACAAATTTATCTGTTCCATAGTAGTCAACGTCGAAGAGGACATAACAGTAGCTCAAACTAGTAATTCCGTACAAGAACTTAGCTATGAAGTTTGTCAAAATCGCTACTGCTAAGCTTTGTTGTGCGAGCATCAGTGCAAAATTTCCCGTGTAAATCAATGCAATTATACCCTGCAGTTTGCGAAATGCGATCTTATCTTTTATCCAGTGCGTGAGTAATGAAGCGGGTATGGCTGCGAAGGTAACGAGTCCCAGTAACAAGAGTTCCGGCCCTTGAGTCATTGTGATAGAGCAGTCACTGTTTGGTCCTGCTTCCTTGATATTTAGCAGCTGGATCAACGCTGGAACGAGGAGGGTGGTGAGCCAGCCATTGAAAGTGACTAAAGCTATGAACAGCCCGAGTTTTGCAGTTCTGGCAGCAAAGTTTGGAACGGTGGTCACTGTTTCTTTCTTGTTTTGATCATCTTCTATTTGTGGACATACCTTCTCTGTGAAACAGAAGTGAAGCATGAAGATTGGCGGAATGACGACGGGTAATGACGAGAAAAGAAGGAACACTCTCCATCCAACCCTTTCAAGCAGCAAATATCCCAACACTGAGGACCACATTCCCCCGATATGGAACATTATGCCTGTTATCATCAATATTTTGGCTATAATCTCTTTACTAGAGACCAGTTCAGCAGCCCAAACATAAAGAGTGCTGAATCTGAGTCCACAGCAAAAGCCGAGGAGAGCCCGAGACAGAAGGAGAGTGGTGAAGTTTGCAACTATAGCACAGATTATTGTACTCAAAGCGCTCAGGTAGAGCGAGATTAGAATCAACCTTCGTCTTCCAAATCTGAGATGAAAGTTCATTACATACTTATTTCGAATATTTGCACTTGCCTATGGTTGACTGCTTCTACAACATAGACGATAGCAATTGAAATCATTGGGCAAAATACAGCAATTTGTGACCTTACCTTATCGACAATGGTCCTGCAATGAAAGTTGAAATGGCTAAGGCTAAGTACACACTGCATTCCAATAATCCTTCTTTCCATGAAGACAGTTCAATGTCACACGAAACTTGTTGTGTCATCATTCCTGAAGATATGGAGGATGGTTATCACACTTCTACAGTTGTTTGTTACCTTATATGGGCATTTCATCACGTGATCAGTAATACCCTATATGGGCATATAAAATTGTAACAAGTTAAAACTTTAAGTGTTATACAAACCAGGTAAATCAAGTTCTGTTCCATCTGAAAAATCGCACAGGCAACCAAATATCAACAAGAGCTTATCCATTTTTGTCCAAGATTCCTTGTGTGAACTTGTATCATCGAATATATCATCTTCACCAGGTATGACGTCATACTCGTATTTCTTCTCGTTATGTTTCATCTCTACGCTGCCAAGTGAAATACAGCAAATATCGAATGAAACCCAATTTATAACTATTTATCCAATCACACACTACTTTACAAAAATGAAATACGTTGTAAGGCCACAGAAATCGAATGATGAAATAAAATTTAAATGCAAACATTTGTAAAAATAGCGTTTTGTTATAAAGTAACTGGAAATGATTGGGATTTGCCGGTCAATGATAAACTATCCGTATCCTAATAAAAATGACTTTATACAATCAGGGATATTAAGAGATATTAGAGATAAGATTAGAGATATTAAGATAAAAAGCTCGCTACACAGAAAATACCACATAACTACTTACTTAGTTTTATAAGTAAATTTAAGTAACAGACCAACAGCTAATTAATATTTAATATGATTAAGTTTTATAATACTTACTCCTACTAAAGATTAATTAACCGTTATTAGAATTAAATAAACACGTAGTAAATTGCCTTAACTATAAAATTTTGACCTAGATAAAACGCCAGCTGCCATCACATTGCAATTTGTACCACAGTTAGATAGAAGTGAACAGTGTACTAAACCATGCTATATTCCTGGATCAAAAACTTAAATTCACTTTAACGGCGGCGTCAGTCCAACTAACCTTCAGCTCCAGAATAGCCACATGGCGTAGCAAAACGAAAAACAGTAAAAATATGAGCATTTCGTGGACATACAAACGACATGTCACCGCCGCAATTTTTAAATAACCTCGTTGTTTTATCTTATCTACCAAGGCAGTCTTGATTAACTTTATTGCAAATAATCAACATTTGATGTCGATAGAACAGAATATGAACTATGAATATCAAATTAAAACAACGCAAACCAAACAGACTTATCTTCAGCTTCAGTTAATCAGATAAAAATCATATCTAATATTTCACCACAATCTCTCCCCAGGTCAGAGCGTATTAGGGGCATACCACACGGGTGTCCTGTCCCTGATAGGACAAGCAGCATCGTTCCAGGGTAAGATATCTCTAGTGGTGAGGAGACACAAGAACCCAGAACTTCTCTTTAATGTGTCCGGTCTCCAACCTCCTGCTGACATTAATGTAGACTTGTCCAGGTACGTTACATCGCGTGATTAATGATTAATAAATCCAGTTTCTGACGGTTTCTATCGGTATTCGGTGCTGCTGTCCGTTTCTTTTTTACGCAGACATTTTCCCATCCCAGTCATTACTTAAATCTATTACAGAACGCAGATAAATTTCTCCAATACCGGCTGATATTGAACACTATAAATCAATTTCAGAACGCAGATAAACATATTCAATACCGGCTGATATTGAACACTATAAATTTATTACAGAACGCAGATAAATTTCTCCAATACCGGCTGATATTGAACAGTATAAATCAATTTAGAACGCAGATAAAAATATTCAATTTCAATACCGGGTGATATATAATTCATACTGCAGGTATAAACTAGTAAACATGCGGAACGTAACATTGACCAAGGAGCCTGAAGACGGCTTCGGATTTGTGATCCACAGCTCGCTGCGCGCAGAGGACACTTTCAAGATTGGAAAGGTGGTTGCAGGCAGTCCGGCTGGAAGGTGCGCAGATCTGTTGGAGGGAGATAGTGTGATTACTGTCAATGGTGAGGGAACTTTAACGTATAAGTGATATGAGATTTGCAAGGTTTCAGATCAAATTGTGCAATTTTCACTCTTTAGCTCAGATTTTTACTAACCACCTGTCATAACTCACAGGCACAGATAATAAACACCCAAAACCACACACACACACACGGTACACAATCACCAAGACCAAAGTAAAAGAGGCATCATGAAAGTTTAACCCAGGAACTGTTATCACCGGACTGCAACACAGAACAGTTGTGGAACTGATCAAGAAGTGCGGAACTTCCGTGGTCCTAGGTGTTGGGACTCCTCAACTTGTGGAGGAGGACGAAGATTCCGAATGGAGAAATCAAACTGAAGAGGTGAATATTCTATCTGAATTCTGCTGGTTTTCCTATCAGGCATCATCATCATGTTTGGCAAATGAAAAATGACAAACTACAAGTACAAGCATCCTTGAGAGTCGACCTCCAGTTACATCTTACCGTTAACATTCCTTTCACCCCAGCTTGCCATTGCGCTGGAAAGAGACGAGCGAGGGTTCGGGTTCAGTATCCGGGGTGGTAAAGCCTTCGAAGAGGAGGACACTCTGTTCGTTCTGAGGATAGGTAAAGGAGGAGTAGCTGACAGAGACGGCCGATTGAGAAGAGGTGACGAGATTATTGAGATTAACGGACAGAGTATGTACGAGGTAAGAAGAATTTGCTACCTTTCAGATTCAGATTCAGCCGTTTATTTGACCTGTCTTTGGCATGTCACCATACTCAGTTCCCAATAATTTGTACTGATAATTGAATTATCAGGTGTCGCACCAGGAAGCAGTGGATAAGATAAAGAGCGGTGGAAGCACTCTTAACTTAGTGATCAGAAGACGCAAGTTGGAGATGCCCCCAATTATTCAACTCGGTTTGGAGGACAAGCCGGAGGTTTTACAGTATCCAGACAGAACTGAAATAATATCTGATTCGAGGTTTGTGACATTTTTAATGATACCGAACCCTCAGTAGGAATAGAACCGAAGTCTAATCGACCTATTTTTTAGCCTGTCACTCTGTAGAATTGTCAACTGTGTCATGACTTATGACATTAGTAACGCTATAAATGACATCAATAGCTAAGATTTTGACAATTTGTACTCCCAGGTCAAAGAATGGTGATACTCCAGAGAAGGACCCCACACCAAGCAGTTCGCCTATCCCCCTCCACATCGATACACCTACGGAGCCGAGTATGGATCAAGTAACACGCGATGAATTACCCGCCTCTCCGGTGGAAACAGCGCCTTCGCATGATGAAACGGAACAGTCACGTGACGTCATCACACCACAATCACATGACGTCATCACACCACAATCACGTGACGTCATCACGCCACGTGACGCGCGCCACGAGTACGACAAGTACGAGCCGGATTGTGAACTGAGCGCTGGGTCCTCTCCCGTCGACTGAGAGTAACCTGATAAACCTGAGAGAGAATCCTCTGACTCTCTTGTTTTATTGATTCGATATGTTTCATGTCACAGAATAAGTGGTACACTTGTGCTGATAAAGATTTGATCCGAGTGACCGTCATGTCACGTGACCGCCATGTGACCACGTCATAAAGAGGCGTCATCACGATCAAGCAGCTACACAACGTGAAACATTGGATGTTTAAAAAAGGACTGTATTTGTATTGGAGCATTTTTATTTATCGTAAATCATTTAAATCATTTTAAGATTAACATACTCGCTGCTTTTTCGTTCTAAAAGAAGAAGGAAAAACGAGTTAACAGATAGAGTCTATCTGTGTAACCTAAGCGATCCATGATCTCACGACAGGCCCTACAGATAGACTACAAATAGAGCTGTCAGCTTATATCTGGGGTCATCATTTAGGTTAGGGATGAAATATTAGGATGTAGCGTTCACTGTCAGCTTAATTAACAGTAGCTATTGTTTGTAAGATTTGGTCACAACTGCACTGGTTTGTTGTATGCGGTTTGGTTAATGGGGAACAACGTGGGTCACTGTGAGTGTTACAAAACGTCACCACGATTCAACGTTAGACAAATGTTTTGAGGAACACATGGTCTTCCTTAAAGTGAGTGTATTTGTTAAATTGTAATTCATTAACCGAGTTTGTTGTAAATTTTAATTTTATATTTATTGATTTACCATGTTGCTAATTATACATTGCATTTCTTACGAAAACCATTGAACTTGAAGTAACAATACCGCCTTTTTGATTTGTTATTTTTTCAATACTTTTACTTCTTACAGACAATAAATATTATGAGGGTAACATAACTGGTTATATCTTTTAAGAACATTTATTAGATGCAACCTTGTCACCTTGTTAATGTTATGATTTCACTTGCTTGCACAAACATTACCTGAGGACCCCAGGCTATTATGTTCATTAACCGAATAAAGATTTGGCGGAATGACAGGCTGAGCGCGGCCCAGTAAGCACAAACAGTGTCCTACACTCAAACAATAACATGCACTGAGCTAATAGTAATATATAACAATATTTGGCTTCATCATAAGCATGTCAGTTAACCGTCAAAAAGTAACTAAACTTTGGTTTAAGGGAGCTCTAGACCTCAAGTCCAACCGGTTTATATCACGGCGGGCGCGCGCTACTGCAAGCGCGACCATGGCTCATCTGGTAAGAGCAAGTCAACGGGCATTCTCAAAACTAACATATTTGTTTCGTCTATCATGTATCATGGTCGATCTCTTACTGGGCGGCGCTCAGCGTGTCATTCCGCCGAATCTCTATTCGGTCCCCAGGTAACAGTAATGCGCACAATTTGGGGGAGTGTGCTTTTGGCGGAGATATAAACTATAAACTGCATCTTTATATTTGCCTTTAGCTAGGGGGTGCACGATAAAAATAAACTTGCTCAGATTTTTAAAATTTTTGTACCATTGTTTTCTAGAGACTGTGAGAATTTTCACAGTACCAAATTTGTCATACCTATTTTTGGAATGATCAGTGAGTTTTGCCTAGGTGCCATGTTTGATGGTGACGTGCGCGGCTTTTTGAGCAAAAGTATGTTATGTGTAAAAGTCGCGTAATTTGACAAAATTCGTTGATTTTTGTCGTATTATTCTGTCATATCTTTAGTTCCTTAAATGAGATCATTCTGAAAATTTGTGAAAACCTTTCAATAGGGCTTTTTATATTTATCACGTGGTGACCCCCACGGTCTTCGACGCTACAGGGGGAGCCGCGCACTTCGTGCGCGGCGGGTCATACAACGTATGACAACTTTTTATCTACAACTGTCCGAAAAATTTGGTGGATATTGGAGTTGCTTGATAAAATAATCAAAATAGAGCAAAATGGGGCAAAATTCGATGCTTTTAACTGTAACATAATGTTTGATGGTTGGATATGCTTTTATATTTTTTTACCTGGGGACCTTTTGTAGGTTTACAACCTACCAGGACGCGCGCCGGTCAATATATGGAACAGATATTTTACGGGTGATACTCGTGCCATGTTTGATGGTGACGTGCGCGGTTTTTTGAGCAAAAGTATGTTATGTGTAAAAGTCGCGTAATTTGACAAAATTCGTTGATTTTTGTCGTATTATTCTGTCATATCTTTAGTTCCTTAAATGAGATCATTCTGAAAATTTGTGAAAACCTTTCAATAGGGCTTTTTATTTGTATCACGTGGTGACCCCCACGGTCTTCGACGCTACAGGGGGAGCCGCGCACTTCGTGCGCGGCGGGTCATACAACGTATGACAACTTTTTATCTACAACTGTCCGAAAAATTTGGTGGATATTGGAGTTGCTTGATAAAATAATCAAAATAGAGCAAAATGGGGCAAAATTCGATGCTTTTAACTGTAACATAATGTTTGATGGTTGGATATGCTTTTATATTTTTTTACCTGGGGACCTCTTGTAGGTTTACAACCTACCAGGACGCGCGCCGGTCAATATATGGAACAGATATTTTACGAGTATCACCCGTTAAGGGACCTCAGGCTATTATGTTCATAAACATATATAAACATATAATAGAATAGAGATTCAGCGGAATGACAGCTGCTGCTCATGGCGCGTATTTTGCGCAAATTTCTTAAACATTAAAAACCTCCGCATAACTATTTCTTATTCCTGTCACCTTTAACATTGAATTATAATGATTTAAACTTAAATATATACCTTAAACTTAAATATATACCTGCTGAACTACTTTCGATGAGTCTTAATGCGAGACAACCTTGTCACGTTATTGCGGCACTGCGGCACACGATTGCGGCACTGCGGCACACGATGTCGGTGTGCGGCACTGCGGCACACGATTGCGGCACTGCGGCACACGATGTCGGTGTGCGGCACTGCGGCACACGTTTGACGTTTGTGGCACTCGCTAATTCCTCCGTAATCGGTTAATTGACGATGTCAATTCATGGCAGCTCGGCGCGGCACAGTAGCGCATCTCGTCGTGCGCTCCTACTAAATCGCTCGCCCAAATTTTAAGAAAATTCTTGTTAAAAGGCCCTTTGGGTATGAAATTGATCTGAATCGATGTAATTTTGGACGCTGATTCCGAATCACCCCCCATGACGTAGGGTAAAAATGCTTTTTGGTCACGTGACAGGCTAGTAAAACATGAATTCGATTGTTTAGGGCTCGGATTAGGGTTAAGGTTGTGGTAAGGGTTATGGATAGCTTCGGGGTTATGGTTAGGGTTGGGATTAGGGTTTATGTAAAACCGTTTTGTACGGCTGCAAAACCATAAAAAACCAAAGTCACGTAAAATTTTTGGGCGAGCAAATTAGTAAGAACCCTCGCCGTGAGAAGCCTCATTGAGTGCGCGGCGCTGCAACGTAATCGGTTTTAGCATATGCAATATGTGATATGTATTTGCAGGTATCGAAATTTTTTTCATTTTATATTAGCATCGAAAACAATGAACAAAAGAAAACCGCTCTTTACTTACATAACTAGAACATATAATGTATAAATTAAATAATTACAGTCAATTATAACAAATTTATCATAATTCATACCCATATTTCATATTTAAAACATCTATCAAAAACACTGAACAAACAGTATGTAGTATAGTACTTTGTATTCAACCCTACAATAGTAGTAGTAGTGTACAAGTGACAACAAATAAACAAAATATTTCCTCGACATTCAAAATTGGTGCCGCAACTAATACTATCATTGAATTTTAAATCACTGCCGCAGCGATTGCTAGTTACTATAACAGTGTACAGCTATACGTAACTAGCAATAGCTGCGGCACTAATATAAATATGGTGGTGGCGGCACTAATATAATGGTATTTCTATATTATGTAATACAGGGTGGCCCAGAAGTAATTGCCCACACTCAACCCTTCAATAAACTGACGTAATTCTTCTTGGAATTGCACAGAAATTTCAGAGATTATAGATATGGGTCAAACTTAGATTTCCTGAAAGTTTCGTCTAATTCAATTAATTACTCTTTTTCGCTATTCAAGTTGGTTGTTCACAATTTAACAGAGTTATGACCCTTTTAAGATATTGCAGATACGTGATCTCGGCACTTAATCAGTGATTTCGTCACCCAATCAGTAATCTCATCGGGAGCTATAATTTGCTTGCGAGCAACAATGAGCCTCATAACGGTAACGAGCATGTTAGTGGATGACGATCTGATAACTTTGAGTGAATACTGATAGTGACGTTTCTTAAAACCGAAGAAATTCGCGTTATAGCGCTTCGGTTGCTGTCGTACAATCAGTCTCCAACCAATCAGGGCATTGATTGAGTGAACATATCACTGATTAACTTGCCCTAAGTAAGTGTATTCTGGGTAAAATTATCTTTATCCCGGTTGTTGCGACAAGTAAAAATGCTCTTATTAGGGAAAGGAGATTACTCGACGTTTCAATGTAACTACATCGTATTCATGATCTCAAATTATTTGTTATATACAAATTGATACAGTTTGATATAGTAGTGTTGAAAGTATTAAAACCCAGCACCCTAAGTAAGTGCTGGATCATGTATCTGCAAGATCTTAAAAGGGTCATAACTCGGTTAAATTGTGAACAACCAACTTGAAATTTTGAGAAAGCACTTCAATTATCAAACTAAATGTGTCTAGAAATTTGAAGTTTCTAGCTGAAAGCCACACCCACTGTAATTGATTAAATTTGACGAAACTTTCAGGAAATCTAAGTTTGACTTATATCTATAATCTCTAAAATTTCTGTGCAATTCTAAGAAGAATTACGTGTTAAAGGGTTGCGTGTGTGCAGTTACTTCTGGACCAACCTGTACTTGTAGTAATTATATTTTTATCATTCATCGATAAGTGCAAACTCAAATGATTCAGTTATCATTGATGTATAACACTGGCCTAGCAGTTTACAATAAATAAACAATATGTCGCCTCGACACATAATAAAATATCAATTGTGCCACAAATACCATTGATATTAGTCCTGCAGCAAAAAGCTATTGCTAGTGCCGCAGCTATTGCTAGTTACGTAACTAGCAATAGCTGCGGCACTAGCAATAGCTGCGGCACTAATATAATGGTGGTTGCGGCACTACATAACACAAAAACGATAGTTTTGGCACTAACGATAGTTTCGGCATTAGCTATATTTCATATTTTGAATTTGGAGCTTGCTGACCTCCTGCTTTTATGTTCAATAACACAATTGAGGTTGTGTAGCAGAATTGAGAATGGTAGGCTTAGCGCCGCTGAGCTGACGGCTATACTAATTGAAAGGCATTTCTGATCTTATACGAAAAACGAGAAAGGTGCAGTTTGCAAGTAATAGTTTGAATCTTCAAGTTCATACTAAGTACTTAATGGTATGAAAAGTACCATATGCTTTCTATAAATAGATTGCATGCATGATGCAGCGCGCGCCGCATATCAAACGCATGGCGGCAGGTTAGCTAGATTGCGCCGCAATAATGACATAGAACTTTATATATTTAACCAGAAAATGGCGATAGACACTCAGCGCGCTCCATATTAAACATGCTGTCCGAACTTGGATAAATAAAGGCAAAACAGTTACTACTCATCGTAACAAGAATATTACTCGCTTATCGGCCTTAGAAACAGATTGAAAAGTCTAAAATAAAATCAAAACTGTCATCCATCCATATCTGGGGTTTCTTGCAGAGGTCGTCGGTTTCGATAAGTAGTCTGGCAAAAGTAACTTGACCTCTTATATCTTAACGCCAGATGTTGTTCCCGATGTTATTTGACCTGATAAGGTTCTTGTTTATTACATTTATACTGATTCAGATATATACCAGATTCAGATATATTATGACGCAGTGGAACTATATCGGACTACGTTGTATGGGGACTTGCCCATAGCTCTCGTAAAAGG